AACTTGTGTGATGACAGTTCACCAACTTTTGCAGTTTACCAACAAAGAGATACAATGCCTCATATTTCACTTTCTTGTCCAATTACTTCAGCAATAGAGTAAAAGATATATAAAAAAGCATAAATTGTTAAAAAGAAGGGCATAAGCTGAGTAGAAAGAAAGAAGAGTGCATTACCAGGGCACAATGGGTCTACATACAATATGTATGAAAAATTGTCTCTTGAGCATCCAATCCTACAAAAAGAATCAACAAAAAGGTAATTAAAGATCGTAAAACAACTACAAAAACTTTTTCAACATGAAGACATCATTCGGGGCCATCCTATATTTTCCTTGGGTACAAAATTGAATTCAGAGAGCTCAAACACAGATTGGGTGCTCAAGATGCTTAAATTTTAATATGGGAGGATGAAATATCACAAAACAGTGAAAACACACATAGAGAACCAAGTAACAAACATTTTTAAGAGGTTGATAAACCTGGTTTATCAAAATATGTCTTCTTGAAATAGAGAAAGTAGCATAGCCAACATCCATTAAAGAGCTACAATACACAATAGCTAAGATATGGGCGACTTGTTAGATATATAACGAAAAAGTCATGAAGGGAAAAATAATACTAACAAACCAAAAGATGAGGAAGAAGGATGGAAAGCATTTAGATGGGATTCGGGGATCTATTTGGGTAAACCCTAAACAATAGATCCAAGGTAATCTAAAATTGAATTGTAAAATAGACAAAAATTACAAAATTAATACGTCTTACCTGATTAAAACTGGGAAAACGATTAAGAAATCGACATCTGCATATTGATCCACCACAAACCTTTGCAAAAAAGAATCGAAACATATAAATATATACAGAATAATATACAAATACCAAAAATTACCCACATCACTCACTCAAGCAAATGATCGAATAGTTGGTACGCAAATGGAAATCCAAGATCAACTGGAAAAGGTAAGAAATTGATGCAATAGAAGGACCATCAAGTTCAATACAAATGAAAAACTGGAAGAAGAAAGCAAACAGAAAAAATAATTCAGAGCCTTTACCAATCTTTAATGTCTAGCTCTGACCCTCAATAGATAGAAACTATAAGAACAAAAGAAAACACTTGAGATTAAAAATTAGAACTAAAATCAAGAATTTACCTAAATCGATGCTTACTTAAGGCATCGTCGTTCTTCAACTCTCTGTATTCACTAACCAGAAGCATTACGTGAGTGTTGGGTTTTGCAGATTGAGAATTCCAGCATTTGCTGATAAACCGGATGGATTTAAAGATTTTGGCGACGGCTGAACGTAACGAAGGTGGTGACAACAATGCCATTGATGGTGATAATGGTCATCTAGGGCTTGTCTAATAAAATTAAGAGAGTAGAGAAGAAGTAGGTGTGTGAAAAGTTTAAAAAGAAAATGTGTGATATAGGGGAAGGGGAGAGATTCAAGCGATATGAGTTGAGATCTCGGGCGGGCAACCGTGATTGATTCAAATACTGACAACCGAAATGCTGATATTTAGGTATTTAGGAAGTGAATGTCGATGGTAGCAATGGGTTAGTGGGCGGGAAACATAGAGCGTAGATAGCTGGTGAAACGACACGTGGCAGTAAACATAGCTTAAAAAATGACACATTGCTGGTTTAGGAGTGTTTTATTAAGCATAGAGATTTACTTTGATTTTTAATGCTTTACTACTTCAGTTTAATTTAGTTATTCAGATTAAAAACCTAAAATCAACTAACTACTTGTTCACTTGTTATGTTGTTGGTGAAATTAGGTTTAAATCTTAGACTATGAATTATAAATCTTTAATTATGTTTGTAGAGGTTCTTTCATTAAAGAATTATCATTGTGGAACATAACGAAGCATTTATAATGTAACTTTAGAAAATGCTTCTAAAAATGTTTCTATTTGTGAATAAATTGATAAGGATGTGGTTACTATACGAGTCTAATGAAATCAAAAAAAAATTAAAAATATTATTTTTTATGGGACCCTTGCAAAAACAAAATTTAGTTCCGCTAGTATTGGCATTTGCTACCAAAAAACATTTGCAATTAAGGTTGTAAACGAACCGAACGTTCAGCAAACTGTTCGTGAAATGTTCGTCGGAAAGTTCGTTTATGTTCGTTTATTTGATAAATGAATGAACATAAACACAAATTCTCGTTCGTTTAGTTAAATGAACAAACATGAACGGTAGTCTTACTCGTTCAAATATGTTCGTTAACGTTCGTTTGGTTCATTTATTTAAGTTCTTTTAATGTTCATATATTTTAAATTGTGTTTGATTACATTATTATATTAGATGTTTGTTTATTCTCATATATGTTCAATTATATATGTTTATCTTCGTTCTTTTATGTTTGTTGAGCATGTTCACGAACATAAACGAATGGACATGAACAATGTAATTTATTAAATGAACGAACATGAACAAGAAAACTCATTTGTTTATCCATTCGTGTTCGTTTGTTTATTCGGCTAACTTAAATGAACGAACATAAATAACCTCGTTTGTGTTTCTTCGGTTCATTTACCGTACTATTTGCAATTGTTTTGTGATGGATATTTTGATGTTATTGCTAAATGCTACACGCCTACACTTGCAAAGGGGGCTTCTTTGTAATGGAGTTTGGGTGTATCGATTGTGGTATTCCCATCATGATTGTACTTAACTCATCGCAAACACGTCTCTAAATAAAGCGTGGGCTGTTATTTTTTATTATTATTTTAAGATCCAAAAATCATTTCATTTGGTTTTATGAGTTTTTAAATATTTATTACGGCATATTTAATATAAGGGTGTTTAAACTAAGAATCTTTAAATCGTTGCAAATAAGTTCTAGGAAGCTAAAAGAATGCATGATTAAACTGGATACAAAATGTTTGCTAACTCATAGTAAAATAAGGGATCAAAGTTTAAAAATAGTAAACTAATATTTGATCACTACGCATCATTGTGGTGAATAACTCTTTTTGTAAAGTATACCATAACAATATAAAAATAAAATATCAATCTAAACAATTATGTACGAAAGATATCGACAAAATAAAATTTGAAAATATATCTTATTTGCTATAATATCATAAATAACAATTAATTATTAATTATAACAATAAAATAAAAAATAATATTAATAAAACGAATGTTATAAGAACAAATTATGTAAGAGACTAAAAATATAATTTTAAAATATAGTAAGAAACCAAAATCACTTATAAAACATCAATAACTTAGTTTTAAAAATTATAAGAAGTGAAAACTAAGCAAAAACTAATTAAAGGAGAAAATATAAATACAAAAATCTGCTTGAACAAAAAAATCATTATTTTTGGAAAAAAAAAACTTTTTATATTTTATTTTAAATATTTTGAAAATTATAATATGATCTGAATTTAATGATTTTAGATGTGAAAATATTAAACCAAATAAAAATAACGTGTACGCACGTCACGTTTTGTATTTAATATCTAATAGTAGATAGAAATATAATCGCATAGTAGCGCGTATTCGAATTACGCGGTGGTTTTAAATTCAACCATATCAAAATACTTATCTTAATCTTAATATATTATATAATTACAATTCTTCACTTTTAATTTCCTGTATATATAGACAATTTTTTGGATACCGGCGGTTAACGTAGGGTAATCGGTATCTGTAACCCTGTAGTCCTATGGATACCTTTATAAGAAGCTACCAATGTTCCTGGCAAACGACCATCGCCGGCGCCGGTGCCGGTGCCGGTGCGGGCTCCTTTCTCCGATCAAAACCCACAGCCTGCACCATCTGTATGGATGAATTCTTTAAAGGCGACAACATTATACGACTCCCTTGCCACCATTACTTCCACCGTCGATGTATCCGCAAGTGGCTTTCGCTCAAGAAAAACTGCCGGATCTGCCGCCGTACAATTGCAATTCCGGCAGCTCCACTTCCGTTGAGAGCATCAAGGCGCTCTAATTCAAAGGCGTATTTTGTAGAATACCAACATCGACCATTCCACATGTTTCTTTACCAGCTGATGGATCTATATGAAGCGTTTTTTGGTTAAGGATTTGTGATCACATAGTTACCTCTAATTTAGTGTTAGATAGTTCATTAGGGTTTTAAATTTAGGTATTAGGGTTCTTCTAGTTTCTAACGTTGCATTTGATGTGCATGGGTACATATATTAATATATCTTAGATCAATAGGTATTAGGGTTCTTCTGGTTTCTAACGTTTCAATTTGTTTTCAACAATATATTCAAGCTTATCGTGTGATGGCATTGTCAGTTAGATAAAATAGTAATCATCATATAATTGGATATTATTGTATTTAGTGATACTGTATATTTTTTTATCCCGAGTAATTCGATGAAGGTAGTTGTTGAACAAAATTAAGTCTAGTATTGAAAAGGACCTTGTAAAGTTGTAATTTAATGATTTGTATGAATGTGATTTTTGTTATATACTGCATGTTTTTAAAGATATTATGGAACATTTAGGGAGCGCTTTCAAAAAAACGATTATTTGTCTTATAATTCATATACATGACTTCTCGAATTTCAGTTTGATATTGTTGTGTCTATGACGTCCTTATTTTGACATTGTTTGCGTATTTAAATCTATGCATCATTTGTTTTTGTAAAATTTGGAATTAACTAGGAGTGAGTGAATGTCGTCCTTTGCAGAGAACTCTTGAGTTTTAAGTATTGGGCATATGTCTTTATAGACGTTCTTTTGATGTATTTAGTGATATAAGGGTTTTTGTTCCCTTAATAAAGAAACACTCATGTCATTCTTAGCGCATTCTTTTCATTGTCGTCATGTTATTTTTTGTCATAAAAATATGGTTTTTTGCAATGGCACTAAGTGTGTTGCCACACTTTTTTTAATAATTTAATTTAATAAAAACTTAAAATTTCATTAATTCAAATAAAAAAAGTACATATTAGAATTTAAAAAAATTAAAAATTAAAAAAAAAAAAAAAAACATTAAAAAATTTTTCACAAAAAAATAAGAGTAAACTAGAAAGGTGACCCCCGCGTTGCGGGGGTCGGAAGGTGTCACTTTTGTTTGGAAGTATATTACATTGTTCTAATTGGTAGCTACAGTAAAGTATGTTGCTTGAGTCAATTTTATTTTACTTTGCTGCTTTATAAATGATCTTCTACCACTCTTTGCACCTTCAATATAATTCCGGTCATACTGATAGTCAACGTCGATTGCATCCATCTGCAAACAACATAGAACCATAAATATAACATATTTTATACGGACAACAGTAAAAATTCGTACAACTTGACAGCAACAGATTTTGCTAGCAACAATTTTATCAGATAATGTCATTTTGACATCAATTTGTTCTCAAATGTTTTACTCCTCTTCCTGGAAATGAAATCGAACCCACATATTCTCCTATAGAGTACTGGCTATTGTTTCCCTTCCTCTAGTCTCCTGTACGACATATTCCACACACCTGACCAAGTGGCTGATACCACTCTAAATCTTGATTTGAAGTAAGCTATTGTTTCCCTTCCTCTAGTCTCCTGTACGACAGATTCCACACACCTGACCAAGTGGCTGATACCACTCTAAATCTTGATTTGAAGTAAGCTTTGTTGTCTGGGTTTACTGAAAGGTAATTTGCTATTAGAGAACAAAATTTACAACTATAGAACAATAATAAATAAAAAGCGCAAAAGAATATTCAAAAAAAAAAACTTACAAACAGAAGTTTGAAGTGTTGAAATCTTCATTAAACCTGCAACGAAACGAAACAAACAACAAATCTGTGAAATATGAAATCAACAACTATAAGTATACTTGACTGGGTGAAGTTGAATCCATAACGATGGAGTGTGCCTAGAAAGAAGTAAAAGTAATGCAATTGAAACGAATCAGCTACAAAACTTATAGTAAATCAAACTTGTAGAGTTGGTAGTATGATTCACATAATCGAGATGTAAGTTATCATGATTACAAATCTAGGGATTAGAGGGATCGAGACACTAATGGTCATCGAACTAACCTCTAAAACTCTGTCAGCCATTGGTCTTGAACAACCTGATATCAAAATGAAGCCATACCATATGTCCGAGTGTTTGCCTAATGAAGCAAAAACATAATTGGGTTATTCTACAAAAGTGCCAATGTATTTACCATGTTGTAAGAAATATAAGTTTAATCTAGGAAGAAGAGATCGATGATACAGTTTTCCAAGTACAAACACACTCTTGACCAGATTTTTCGTTGAGGAGTTTTGTCGAGCAGCTGGTGTTCAAAACTTAAAAAAGCACAAAGAACAGAATCAATAAGTTTAGAAAACACTAAAAATCGTGAAATTCAGAAACAAATGATGGAATCAAACTGCTCTTACACTCTTTCCTGTCTTCCCTCACCTTCTGTCTCCCACTGAACCAAATTAGTTGATGGCAGTTGGGTTCGATGACCATCAGTTGCAGCAACAACAATCAATTGCAATAACAGCGTGCATCTTGTATGCTTCATATAACTTGATGTAGTTGTCGACTGTAAAAAATAAGTGAAAGACCCTGAGATCAGCTTGCTGGCCCAGCTGAGTTCATCGGTTTGGTATTTAAGTGAGAGAAGGATGAGATCGATGTTGAATATGAACAATCGATTGGGTTATCCTACAAAAGTGAAAGAGGACGGATATGGGTGAGACGTAAAGACGTAAAACAGGAAGAGAACAAAATCAAACGAAAAATCAAACACCCAACAGAAAATAAGAATGTTCTCACTCCATGTTCATTGATAGTTCGATATTTATTAAGGTAAGAAACATTAGACATCCCAAACCATGGACCTGGAGCAACAAACATAGATACATGACATACCTTCAGGTTTGCAAATCAATGAAAATAAGCACAATAGGACATAATGATCTAACGTTTAAAGGAGAAAATAACACCTTTTCTTGTATAAAGATGTATGAAAAGCCTTGGGCTCAATAAGAAGTGTTCCTGAAGCAAAAGAGAAACAAAAATTAACATACATATAAATAACTATAGTTATTATTTATTTTTCTTTTTTATAGATTTTTAACAATAAATCTTTTGTATTTATAATAATTACCAATGAATCCAATCTTCTTTTGCTTCAAAAAACCATGTCTGCCAATAAAATATAATTATATCTATTTTTTAACTACTATTAAATAATTATTGGATTGTTTTTAATTTTTTTATAAAAAATTTACCATATGGTCAAGCTTTCTCTCCATATCAAAGCTGATAAGAGTTTGATAACCCCCCCCCCCCCCCCCCCGACCACCTTAACAACAGATCCGTCCATTTGTCTGGAAGCAAGCAAAGAGAGTCGACTCAATAGCTATTTTAATATAAAAGCACAAAGCTATTATAAAATGCAATATTTAAAAGAAAGGTCATAAAATGGGAATGTTAATCAATAATTCAGGATATGTTATGGGTACCTTACCATTTTGAGCTACCGCAAACAAAATTAACAAATCAAAATCAATAAGAAATATATTTCATACTCTCATCCTTAATGTATCAGCTGATATATTATACAACACTCTTCTGTGATATGTGTGCAGGTTGAGATTTTTGTTAACATAGGAACATAAACATTTTTTATTAATTGAGACACTAATTACATAAATCTGATACATATGTATATATATATATATATATATATATATATATATATATATATATATATATATAACCTCCAACCATCACAACCCTTCAATATGACAATTAATTTTAACCGCTATAACTACCTTTAACCGCCGTATAAGTGACTTATATAACAACTAACTGATAACAAAATTTAACAGTCATAACCAAGCATATTAAATGTCAAGATTACCCTTCAACATTACAAAGAACAAATCATCATTTTAACCAATAACTGCTGGTGCTCTAGTCCAATCCAAAAGATAAGGGTGTTCTGGTACAGGAAGTCCAATTAACGCATACTAAAAAGAAGCTAGTTTTCATATTACAATATATAATGTTCTTTAATATTCCCATGAGGATTATACAAAACGACAATCGTACATACAAAGTCACATATAAAATAAAAACTATAAGATTAATGAAACAAATGTTTAAAGTTTACCTCTTTTGTCCAAAGACAGGTTTCCATCTGCTAATGTTTTAGACATGTGTTGAAAAACCCCAAATTAAGCTTTCAACACTGAAAATAGAATCCAATAGCGACTCTTCACTGTTGTTGCCCAAATTGTGCCTACATATACATTTTTATCAAGACTCCATTATATTTTGTGAGTTTGGTTATTCAAAAAAGAGTTAAAGTTTCATACCATTGCTGGTAAGTTTGTGGTTTGAGACCCAAAATTGCAAGCCTTCCATTTGACCTGCATCATACTTCCAATTTTTTGCTTCATAATAATTATATTAAACTAGTAGAAACTTCAAAAAATATTTTCTTTAACATTCAAAGACTGGATGGCAAAAGAAACCTTATGAGCTGGTTACAATCGTTGTGAATGCCTCAAAGGTATTTCATCGAACATGTGGTAAGCAAAGCTGATAAGAAGAGCAAATTCCAATCTCAGAAACAAAGTAGAGAAAGCAGACAGAGTTGGTAGAAAAAGAAAGTGTCGATTGAAGTCAAAATCACTTACCCAACTGAATCCATTGTACTCATCTGCTCCCTTCACAATTTCTTTTCCAAAACCCATGGCGTGTTTCTAGGTCTGTAATCATCAAAATTACAGAAATCATACCAACAAGAAAAAAAACTTGTTGGACATCATTTACCTACAGTGGAAACTTGCTTTAGGAGATGAAATCATTTAGGAGATGAAGTCATTAACTGCTTATTCGAAATCTCGTGCTGAGAGAAGAAACAATACCTTTCACACCTGTGTGTAGAGTGAAACAGTCCTCCAATCCCACAGATGTTGAAGAAGAAGGGAAAACAAAGAGTAAATGACCGGAATTCAAGGCTCGCAAGGCATGAGAGAAGTCCATGTCGGTGGATTCCTGTCCAATATCGGTTCTCTATCGGTAGGTGTCGTAGAAACCTAATTTTGATGTCGTGTTGAAGGAGATGTCCAGATACAACAAACACACATGAAGAAACCGCACTGGGAAGAAAAGTGCGTGGAGCCATAATCGATTACAGAAAGAAAGAGATACGATTTCTGGAAAAGAAAGAGATAGAGGAACAGATAAAGTGAGAGGGAGAGAGAGAGAGAGAGAGAGAGAGAGAGAGAGAATCACCTGGTATTGGTTTTGTGAAGAGGAGAATCGATTTGAGGTAGCGGTGGTGGAAGGACCAAAAGAAGCGGTAGGAGAATCGATCGTTGATAATCACATAAACCTAGAGGAAAAAGTGTTTATGACGCCGTTAACAGAGAGAATCGATCGTTGATAATCATCCACTTAAAAATCAATCACAGAGCATGAAACACATACCGATTCAGCCATAAGTCGGACGCCCTAAATCGTCGATTTGAACGTGGAACATCCGGTGGTGGGGGCCGACGATTTTGAAACTTGCTCTCTAGGGTAGGAGTTGGTGTAGGTCAACGATTCTCAGAAGAAGAAGAAGAAACCTCAGAGCAAGCGGAGGGAAGATGGTCAGGCGAGAAGAGGAGAAGAGACTGTGTATTTTGGGGATCAATTCCATTTACCAGAAAAGCATGTGAACGATGATGGAAGCTTTAATCGAAGATGGGAGCAGACGAATAAGAAAACCCTCTGAAAATAAAAGATGAGGCGGTGAAAGAAAGAGAAGAAGGCACGTATGTTCGTCGTGTCAGAAGTCGATGACTACGCGTACGTAAAAACGACACGTCTCTACTAACAATATAGATATGACAAAAAAAACCCATCAAGATACAAAAAGACAGCGACCTACAGGAAATGTAAGTTAAGGGACGAAAATAGACAAATATGGGCCAAGTTTACTGTTCTTTTTCTTCACAATATATATATATATATATATATATATATATATATATATATATATATATATATATATATATATATATATATAGAAGGACCAAATTGCAATTTCAATAAAGAAGTGGACCAATTCAGATCTAGAGCAAATTGGGGGCCCATAAGAATGTACAATGAATCGAAGTAGAGGGGCCAATTTTAAAAATGGCTTAAAAGGACCCCAGGCAAAATATTAATAAGTAGAAGGACCGAAATTTTTAATATATATAAGTAGAAGGGCCGAAATTGACCAAAAAGATTGCTGTTTACTGTTACTTTTTTCACATCTTTAATATATATATATATAATAATTACGCGGATGATCTGTGCAGTTTTGGGCAATCTGTGTGTTTATCCCTATTTCCTTTTTTAAACTCGGAATGTCCCTATTACGTATTTTTGTTGCGCGTTTGGTCACTGACATTAGTAAAAAGACTATATTGCCCTTAATGAATATCTTTTTGATTTTTTTAATATTTTAAATTTATTTTAATCTTTTTATTTTATTTTATTGGGACCATTGTTTTTAATCCCATCTTACCCTTCATTGTTCAAGATTACCCTTCACTCCAATTCATCACGACCACCGATCTTACCCTTCATTGTTCAAGATTACCCTTCACTCCAATTCATCACCACCATCGTACCTGCTTTACATTTACAAATAAAGACCAACATTGATTGATTTCTTAAAAATGGAAAGCAAAATCACCACCACCTTTAATACCTGAAAAAAAAACCACATTGAACCCAATCAAACCAAAAATCGAACCAGAAATCAAATCCAAGAATCCAAACACTAAATCCAAACCGAAAATCATATATGAAATCAAAACCAAAATCAATCCTTTCAAACCAGACATTTAGTCGAATCAAACCAACAATCAAAACTAAAAAATCAAACACAAACATATATTTCCAACAGAGATGAGATGAGAGTGAAAAAGAGAGAAAGAGAACCCACAAGCACCAAACCCAGAAGCTTTGAAATCACGTTCCATCGATTTCATGCCAAAATCAAAACTCAAACAACCATAAAATCAAGATAAATGAGTGTGGTCGCCGACAGTTGTGTTAGCTCTGGCAGATGGCATCACAAATAAGTTAGAGACAGAGGAAGGATCATGACGGTGGTAGTGGTGGATCGATTGTTTGTTCCGGTTGCAATGACATAGATGAATGTGGTCATCAACGGATCTAAGTATCTGATGGTGCTTAGGATTCCACCTTCAGTTTATGGTGGAGCCCTAAACCACCGTAGATGAAAATGAGAGCAGCGGTGACTGGGGAAGTGGGTTGCAAAGGTTAGGCTTTTGATTTCTTGTGAGGTTTCAAGCGAAAATGATTCATTTAGGAAGGAGAGATGAAAAACTGAAGTGGGAGTGGAGAGGAAGAAAGGGGGAAAAGGAAATGGGAGGGGTGGGGGCAGGGTCTGTTTGGTGGGGGATGTTTATTTATTATTATTATTATTTAGATTTAAAAAATGATTGTTTCTGTTTTGAAAAAAAATTAATAGATAATTGAAACATTAAAAAGAAGTTATCAATGACAAAGTAGTCTTTTTACATTTGTCAGGGACCAAGTGCGTAACAAAAACATGTAATAGGGTCCGTCTGAGTTAAAGTAAAAGATTTTGGGACCAAACACGCAGATTACCCCAAACATAGGGACCATTCATGTAATTTACTCAAAAAATAACTAAAACACATTACATGAAATCTTCGACAGAGAAGTCGTCTTTTGAATCATCCAAGGGATCCAAATTGAGATCAATGTGTTGACTCCCGTAAATGTGTACCACCAAGTCTATATGAAGATTGTGATGTGTTTCATTGCTACGCATCTCCGCTCTCCTGTCCATGTACTCATCACCACTAATCTCTATTGGCTATGTCTTTGGGATGTTTTCATACTCATCATACACACATATCACTCCTCCTTCATCTTCAAAAATCATATTATGCAATATGACACATACATACATGACCTCTTGAAGTTTTTCCTTCTAGAATCATTTGGACAGGAAATGATTTAACAACGTTTCTTAAGAGCTCTAAAGGCTCTCTCGACATCCTTCCTAGCTCTCTTGAGCCCTCTTGAATTTTTTCATCCTATAATCATTTGGACAGGAAATGATTTAACAAACATATCATACTCAGGATAGATCCCATCAACAAGATAATTACCATAATGATGGGTTTTATAGGTAACAAAAATCATATTTTTGGCGGAAAACCTAAAACCCTAAGTTCACATACACCCTAAAGGATCTATGTTCTCACTATGATATGCAAACAACAATTTGAATTTAAAACCCTAAAATATATTTCTATTTTCGATTTAGGATAAGGGATAATAGAAAACATACATTTTAGTTTACTTTTGTAAATAAACTAGTAATCCTTATTTGTAGAACTTTAGAAAGCCAACACTAGAAATCTCATGCCTCTGATGGTTCACACCCAAACCCTAGCAGTTGGAGGCTATTGAAGAGAGAGGAGTAGAAGGTATAATTTTTGGCTCTATGGTTTTCTTAGAAGTGTGTATTCCGAAATCCCTAAGCCCTGGGGTATTTATAGGGCTTAAGGAGGTGTATAAAACACATATTTCCTTTTGGATAACTCTAACCATTTTCTTTCCCCTAAGCAATCCTAAGCTTTCTAGAACTCCTATAAAAGCTCCCATTACCACTATAGATCCGTCTCCTCTCCTAGGGAGGTTCTAGAATCAGTCAGTGTTCAACTTTTGGACATTGACACTTTTAGTCCTTCTACTTTTAATCAATCAAATTAATCGCAAAATTAATTTCAATTAATTTCTGGTTTATTCTTAATTAAATATAATTTCTAATTAATATATTTTCATAAAACATATTAATAAATTATTTATTTTTATTTCTAATTAATTTATTAATCATATAAAAAATTAACAAATCGTCATTTATCTCCAAAAAGCATTCTAGTCAATTAGTAGGTTTGATGGCAATCCAAAATGACTTTGCTATTAATTTAAGTTTATAATAATTTAGTTAATGGCTTAAAAACCTAATCTAACAGTCTCCCACTTGGAAAAGTCTATAACTAAATTACAACCTCCAACTTAAACAACAAAGTGTGTTGGTGGTTGTCGATGCCAACAAATTAAATAATCCTAAATCTTGTACACTAAAATAGTATATATGGTAATGAGATCGTATCCACGGAGATTGGTTCAATTTTATAATTCTATGAAAATCTCTTTGTAAAAATATTTGTAAAATAACAATACAAGCAAAAATAGGGGGTTTTTGGTCTTTTGAAACACTTGAAATAAAACTAGAGCCAAACTAAGATTTAAATATATAATTCAACAAAAACAAGAGTTGGATGTAAAATCAATGAGGGAAAGATGGTTGACTTAAGGTTTCCTCACTTGAACATTTGGTGAATATATCATTAGAACCCAATGTGCAATTCTTGTTTTAAATCTCTAATTTGGCTATAGTATTCCAAGAAGCTTGAGATTACCTAGACTTTTCTTAGTTAATTAAATAGCTAGAGAAGCTCATAACATATTTCCTTAGTTAAATTCACAATTTCCATTAAGCATATAATTAGTGAAAATTATCTAGCATTAAGAACCAAAAAGTCACCAAATCCAAGAGGAGTCAAATGCTTTAACTACCATGTTGGAGAAAATATTTTTGTGATTGTGTGAAGTGAAAATTAACACAAGAACCACTTGCTGATTGCTAATTTGAAGATCCATTACCTAATCAAAAAATTAGACAACTAATCACTACAAATATATTTAAACTCATGAATAAAAACATACAACTAGCAAGAAGATGTTAAAACATAAAACATTCTCATAAAGATTCAAGAACAAGTTCATGGTGAAACATCCTAAAAATTATGAGGTAAAAATTTCATTTTTAATTCAACCAAGACATTAATTATATTTTAAGTCAACATTCAACATCCTTTTTCTAAATATTCAAAAATACTTTAAAAGAAAACAGTTATCAGAGTACAATCCCAAAATCATCATAATGCGGAAATATGGGTGAATGTGTAGTGATCAAGCCGAACCCTTCCCTTTTGAACTGAAAGTACTTGAAACCATAACAATAAAAATTGTAAGCACAAAGCTTAGTGAGTTCCCCAAAGTACCTCATATCATACATAAATAAAAACATATTAGGCCCCCGCCCCACATCGGGCCCCACTCGGCATCGAGTCCCACTCAGCCTTGGGCCCTGCCCGATATCGAGCCCCGCTCGAATTACAGATTTGTCATTCATTGGGTCCCACCTGACATCCATCCCCGTCCAGTACACATAATAAACATATAAACATATAATCATGCTAACACATGAAATAACCACAAACAAATAGCATACAATACAGTTACCGGGCCTCACCTGGTGTAACATCCCAAAACTCAAGACCAAAATTTTTTCATTTTTAATATAGCGATTCATAAAACAATTTATAAGAAAACACCATCAAGTAATTCATTTCATAAAAACCATAGATCAAATGTCTCAAAACTATATCATAATAATGTCAGAGTACAAATCCCAAAAATCTCATGTGCGGAAATCATGTGTGTGATGCGCTGCTACCGTGCCGACTCCTTTCCCTTCGAAGAAGAAGGACCTGAAACAAAAACTGAAAACTGTAAGAACAAAGCTTAGTGAGTTCCCCCATCATACCACATACCATACTATAAACATACTGTCAGGCATATCTGGGTGCCCGACCTACCCTGCTGAGCATATCGGGGTGCTCAACCTACCTCTGCTAGACATACCGGGGTGCCTAACCTACCCCTGTCAGACATACTGGGGTGTCCGACCTACCCCTCCGGTTTATCTCAACCGGTTACGGGGACTATTTCACCCCTACTACTACCACATAACAACATAACATAATCATACTGTCAGGCATACCGGGGTGCCCGACCTACCCCTTTTGGTAATTTCGACTGATAAAAGGATTATTCCCCCTACTACCACTATCACATAACATCATACCATACTAGCACATAAACATAACAGATAGTGGCATACCACACAATTATCATAAAGATAATCATCTAACAAACAACTCCTACTAGTGGGCCGACATTGTGGCCTTAGACCCACTTCTATTGGAAGGTAACTCGCCTTGTAAAGCTGAATGTTGAATATCACTGGAAGGAATCTCTAATAACTGCTCCAATGACTCCCCGACTATCATTATCATAACAACACTTAATCAAAATCCATCATACTCCTTAGGGTAAAATCACCATTTTACCCCTTGGTTTAATTTAGACCATACCCAAGGCCCATTTCCATCTTATTTTTCCCAGCCCACTATTGGCCCACTAAAGGCCCACTAGTGGCCCAATTTTTGAAATTGGGCCCACATCTTCAAATGGGCCTTCCCTTAAGCCCAAACATGTCCTTGGTCCATTATCTGACTTTTGATGGCCCATTTCAGCCCAATATCTGCTAAACCCAAAGATTGGCCCAAACCGAGGCCAAGTGTCGCAAAGCCCAAGATTTGAGAGTACGATGAGCGTACTCCTCTGTACGCTACGCGTACAGCTTGCATGGCTTGTACGATGCGCGTACTGTCGTGTACGCACACCGTACTACTCTGTTAAGCCATATTCTTCAAAACTGCTTAATCCCTTAAGATAGTAAGTCCAAATTACAGATCTGAGTCCAATAACCCGTCTTAACGCATAAAGTCGATTACTTGGTGGCTTGCAACCCACCAAGTGAGACAAAAGTTGGAAAATAGCAACTAACTTTCATGGAAATGACTCCAAACTCATGCATGGTCATAAAAGGACCTTAAAGATCGAGACTTTACTGCTTATGGGACATGAATATCACTAAGAGTGGCACCTCTTGGCCTAGAAACGATGTAACATCCCAAAATTCAAGGCCAAAAATTTCATTTTTAAAAAAGTTATTACATAAGACCATCAGTATAAAAACATTCATAACAATATCTCATGTCAAACCAAAGTGTCAGTAATCAAAACATGTTATCATAAAACCATATCAGAGTGTAATCCCAAAGATCTCTTGTGTGGAAAACATAGTGTGATGCGCTTCGATCAATCCGACTCCTTTACTTTGAAAACGAGTACCTGAAACCAAAACTGAAAACTGTAAGCACGAAGCTTAGTGAGTTCCCCTATCATACCACATACCATACAATCATATAATGAACAGCTAGGAGATACGGGCCTCGCCCACACTCATGGAGATACGGGCCTCGCCCACACTCCGCTAGCTGGGAGATACGGGCCTCGCCCACACTCCACTATCTCTGAGATACGGGCCTCGCCCACACTCAGCTACTAAACCATAACATACAAGTATCACACAGACAACGAGTATAAACAATTCTATCATACAAGCATATATCATAATCAAAC